ATTTTACAATTTTATTATAAATATCAGGACAATAATTAACATTTAGTGTAATTTAGATATAAAATAATGGCAACATAAATCGAGAAATTATTGAAAATTTTAGTATAATTTTAATTATACAAGAAGAAAGATATATACAGAAATATGTGTATATATTATTTTAAAATTATCGAATATAATTACCGAATCATACAATTGCAGTATTTTTTAATAATAAATACTAGCCAATTTAGAATTAATTTTTTTTTGGAATTAATTTTCTTCTAAAAATGTCGACAAAGATTTAAATTTTTTCATAAGACTAAACTGTTATCAAACTTTAATTAAAATAAATTTTATTTAAAAATTTATTAAAATAAATTAATTAAAGAATATATAATTTTGTTAATACATTAAGATTCTATAAAATTTATATATATTTGAGAAAAGTCTTTCTTTTTCAATCGTTTAATTCTAATTCAATCGTTAAATAACTCGGAAATTATTAATGTCGTAAAAAAATCATATAATTAAATTTTATTTTATTTTTGAAATAATAACGCAACTTGAGAAGAAAAGCAAAAATAATAATAATTTAAAAATTAACATTAATATGGATAAATTAATTTATTAATAATATTAATCTTAAATCTATCCATTCAGGCGACTCTATATATTTTATAAATATATAAATAGAATACATAAAGTTATTTATAATAATTTTGAATATTTGCGAATAATTTTAAAAATTCTAATGATGTATGATAAAACATGCTTGCATAGTCATCAATCATTCCAAAATATTTTTTATTTTCTATTATATATAGATAAATATGGAAAATAATTAGCATATAACTTGGAAAATTTACTATAATATTTAAATTTTCTATGGGAATTCAAAAAATTTTATTTATTATTACTTTGATAATGTTTTCGATACATAGAGAAAAAATAGAACTTATACAATAATCTATATATACAACAATACAATAATCTCAATGTAAAATTTTGATTAAACAATTTATCATTTATCAATCATATCTCGTATTTGTTCAATTCTCTGTTTAAATTTTAGCAAAAATTAAATTATACATATTTACATATTCCATTATTTAATAAATATTATATATATATATATATATATATATATATATACGTATAAAATAAATATACTTATTATACATTAAGTATGTATTTCATAAAAATATTATTTTTTTTTAATAATCAGGTATAATAAATGTATGCTACATATATAAATCAAGAATGTAATATAAGTACACATTTCGATAGATAACATATAATAAGAAATTCAGACAATTTTAAGATAATATAAATAGAGGTTAGATATGCATCTTGCCGTTTATGTCATGAGAAAAACAATTTTCCAAGTATAACAATTTCTTTATATATTTAAAATTAAAATAAATAATTAGATGACATTTCTAATCAGCATTGCAGTTTTAGAATTTTGTCTAGATCAATGATTATCATACCAAAGTAAAAAGTGTAAGAATCTTATTTCAAAGATCTATGAATCATACAAAAAAATTATTATTCTTCACCACTTTTTCAAAATCTATTAAATATTCAACATTAAACGGTTAAAATTTATTACGTGTAGCTTATGCATATTATATTAAATAAAATTTTTAAACAATATACAAATTTAGCTTATAAAAATATAATACGAGTACGAATCATTACTTTTTAAGAAATTGTATAATTAAATCGTTTAGAATCCTTTATAAGTGCGAAAAGCAAGAATTGTGCTGAAGAGATACAGGCAGGTATTTATTAGACCGCAAATCTAAATAAAAATCAATAAATTATTTTTAGAATACAGTCTAATATATAAGTTATATATAATTATTATATATATATAATTATAAAATAATAATATAAATAATATAAATAATAATATAATTATATATATATATATATATATATATACATATATATATATATATATATAATTAAATTTGTATTAAACATAAATTTAATATATATAATTAATCTAATGCGCAGATTTAACTTAATACGGATTCATCTTTCATAATTTTGCAATAAAAAATTCACATATGAAAGAAGTTATTTACAGCTTATTGAATTCGTGACATCTTGTAATGTACAAATTCACAATTCAAATATAAATTATTATTTTATTGCTTATGATATTACATTTTATTATTATATTATAATTTCAATTCTTTAAATTAATTAAGAATTTGATTTTTTATGAATATTATATTTTGTACTTACAGATGCGCCTAATAACAATTCGTAGTTATAATAACGCTTATAATTAGTAATGTGTATCAATAGCGTCAATGAGGCCGCAAATAATAATCCAAGTGCAATGGAATGATAAAGGAGTTCCTAAAAATTCACAACTTTTCAATATGACAATAAAAATAATGTTGCATAATAAATTTTGATTAAAACAATTGTTTTCTTAAGCTTCCCGTTTTTTAATATTATTTAAATAAGTTTTAATGTAATTTAATAATGGTTAATTAATGGATGATTTATTTACAAATATATATATATATATATTTACAATATATATATATATACATATATATATATATATATACATATATATATATATATGTACAGGGTGGTCCTGAAATAGTTGGTCAAAATTATGGATTGGATTAGGCTCGTCATAAAGATGAAAAAAGTTTCCATAAACATTAGTCCAAAAACGCATCTCGCAGAAGTTACGACTTATTTAATTATTAATACCTGATTCAGAAAAATGGAAGGTCATGAAATAAATTTATTTTTATTTACGGAAGTTGTTGAAAATGTCCACCATAACTAAAATACACGCTTTCAAACGTCTAATCATTGACTGTCTAACACACTCAAAGATTCCTGGCGTATATTTTACAATTTCGCAACTGTTGATAATGCGATCTCATAACTCCTCTACATTATTGATTGGAGTTACATAAACAAAAGTTCTTAGGTGTCCCCATAGGAAGAAATCTAGAAAGTTACAATCCAGGGAACTCGAAGACCATGGAATTGATCTACCTCGTCCAATCCACCGATCGTGTATTTAGATTCTCTGGCAGTTCTGCTGAAATGCGCGGGCGGATTAATTAAAAAAGCATAAATTATAGTAAGTATGATCAAAACATTGAAAATATTTATTCTTTGAAATTGATAATTAAATAAGTAATTTCTGAAGGATGCGTTTTTGGACTAACGGTTATACACACACACATACACACACACACACACACACACACACACACATATGTACTTACGTAGATTGTTTTAGATATAATAGATGCAGTAGAAAGAGACATCAAACAACTGAGAAGAAGGATGAAAGTACTAATCATAAAGGTAACTGTTATGACAAGAAAGAAACATTGTGGCGCAAACCGAAGATAAGTATTAAATTCGTTACCAATGATCCCTACGCAGACTATGCCTAGTGCCTGTTAATAAGAAATGAAAATACCAATTATATATAAGTGTAGAATATATAAATATAGAAAAATTGTATATAGATGCATAATATATAAATATTATATATAGATATATAATATTTATTTCTATAAAAATGGTCATAAATTACACACGACTTGTACTAACAATTATACTTATACTAATAAAAAAAATTATAAAATATATTAACCTAAATATAATAAAATATTTATAGAATTCAGATTATTATGCCTATTAACATAAATAAAGATAAATGATTATAGCCAAAAGCGAGTTTTATCGCGCGCGTGATAATGTGAATATTATATAAAGATTACAAGATCCCCTTATTATTAGATATAGAATACCTTTCGTAAATTATATACACAAAACTAAAAATAATATTGATTGATTGATAATTTCATTATTTAAACGACAAATATTCATCTTAATGAAATATGTGCGTTATGAAAATTGTTAAATTTTAAAATTATTTGTGTATAGAATTATACTACTGCGGTTAAAAAATTGTTAAAAAAATTGTATTAAAGTAATTGTATTAAAGTAATTGTAAAAAATTATCACATTACTAATTAATTAAAACAACTGCTTTTAAATTCCTTGTTTATATAATATTTTATATATATAATAAAATATATTAATATATAGAGATACTTTACTTGATATAGAGATACTTTACTATATCATAAGAGAATAATAATGAAACAAATGAATAATTAAATGTAATAATAAAAGTGCATACCAATTGCAGAAACTTTAAAATGCCATTCCAACTTTTTAAATAGCCAGTATTGATGACAATCATTGACGAACTGGTCGTCATTGTCTGTGTTCTAATTGTCACGGAATGAGACATTGTTGCCTTATTTTTCCAATTCTGAAAAAATCAAAGATAATTTTCTTGTCAACATGTTTCTATATATGTTTATCGTAATATATCAAGAGATGTTATTCAACATACATACACACACACACACACACATGCGCGCGCATACTTGCACGCACGCACATAAATAGAAATGTTGGCAAGTGTAAGAGATAGATATTATAGATAATATGAATAATATATTATACGAAAAAGATAATAATTCCTGGAAGAATTTCTCTTACAAATAATATTAATTTTTTTTTGATTGTGCACTTTTTTTCAAATAATATTTAATTGGAGACATTTTTTTAATCCACAAGCATCATAAATAAATAAAGCATTCTATTATAAAATATCCTTCGGTGGTTTTGGAATATCTTGACACGCCCTGTAAATTCATCTACAGTCGGTAATATAATGTATAGAGACTTTTGAATTTACTTTTAAAAAAAAAATCATGAGACCAAAATGAAAATATTTTAATGTATATTCTAATAATAAAATATATTAAAATAAAAGAGATATAGAGAAAGATATTATAAAGAGAAAATATTCTAATTCTATATTTTTTATAAATTTTTATTAAATTTTATTGATTTAACATTTAACATTTGATTTAACATTTTAGTTAAATATTAGATAAAATCGACATTAATAATTTTACAAATTGTATTAAATTTTTTATGCATAACAACTATAATATTATACAGAACTTTTATAAACAAAATAAAAAATTAATTAAATATAATTTTATAACTACAATATATTATAATTATTTCTTGTGAAAAAAATTAGTCAATGTATTTGCGCGTATATATATTTACTGTAACAAAAATATTAAAGAATTAATGATTTCGCGATAAGAATTATATACATAATATTTTGCATATTATTTCTATCAGTTACAAATTTTTTAATTCATTAACACTTATTAATAAATTATCAATATCAATTATATATACGTATAAAATACACATAGAGTATGAGAAATTCATAAATGAAAAATAAGAAGAATAATAATTGTGACCTATTTTTAAAAAATTAATAATAGTAATAATAATAGTGCATGTATGTATGTATATATGCAACAACAAATGTTTTGCAAAAATAAACATGATAGTAATATTATATAAATAAGTATTTAAATTTTTAATAACATTAATCTTCTAATCGTAAATATATTCTTATTTTGAATTATTTTTGTTGAATTAAGAAGAATATTAAATTTATTCCTGTCTTGAATCTAATTGTAAATATAATTTTGCAAGATTTACACATGTACATTGTGAGGAAAAAATTTTACAAATTTCATAAAAGTAAAACAGAAATAAAGATAGATATATGCAACATACATATATACATAAGAGATAATGATTATATTATTAAAAAATATTAAAATAACAATAATGATTAAGGAAAATTTGGAAAGTATAATGAAACATCGATAGAAAGCGCACCGCCACTATTAAACTGAACATCATTTGTAGAGAGAGAGTCACAGGTTATTTTTAAATATGCAGAACAAACATACGTACATGTACATATATATATATATATATATATATATATATATATATAAATAAATTATGTATAAATCAAATTCGAAATTAAATAAAATGATTTCGATTAAGATTGAATCTTATCTCCAGCTCGACTAATTTTGGTTTCATTTTCATAGAAAAATTACAGAAATTATTTTCTACAAGATTCTATACAATGTGTCGTTGATTATATTTTATCATATTAATATATTTTGTTTACATATAATCTTTTATTATTATATTTCTACTTTTACATTTTTATTTTATTACATTATACCCTATAAATTGTTAATTCTTTTATGTTTCTCAAATTATTCAATCTACTATACTAATAGTAAATTAAATTTAAATTAATTTTTGCCATTAATTTTGCAGAATTGAGAGAATTAGGGGCAATATCTAACGTATATTATATTATATATTGTTTATTAATTATGACGTCAATAAATCTGATTACTATGTTAGTTTTACTCATACTATTAAGAATTATAAAAAGAAAATATTAGTGATTGACAATTATGAGCTTTTTAAACTTTTTTCATAATATAAATTCATCATTTCATAATATCGTACAAAATTAGAAAAATTGTTATAAAAATAATAAAATTCCTCTCTCTCTCACAATGAATAATTAATCAAGATGCATGAGATTATTATAAATGACATAAAAATGATATGCATCATCCGAAATAACTGCACTAACCTGAAAAGAGTACGTTGTCGTACGTTGGCCAACGATTGACTGAAGCGCTGCTCTCTTTCAGCGTAATATCAAGAATGACGTCACTGATGATATCATACATTCACGCACATTTTTAGATACTTAGATATACATATATAGTGCGCTACGCACGATATATATATATACAATATATATATAAACTAATTTTTTGTTTTAATAACTCTCAGTGTGCAACATAAATACACCTATACATGTATTAAAGATCATCTATTTAATAAAAAATAATAAAATGTGAAAAAATATATTTGTACATAATATATTTATACATACTTACACATGCATGAAGTCGTATAGAGTAATAAGAATAAAAATTTTTAAAAAATGTTAGAAACATTAACAATAAAACACATCTAAATATGATATCCTTGTACTTTATTTAGCGTATAATGAAAAATAAATAAAATTGAAGAAACGTCAAAAAAAATGCAAATATATTATAAAAATAAATACATATATGTGTAATATATAAATATATATGAAGTGTATATGTTATATACATAACATATGTGTAAAATTGATTCCAATATCTATAATATTATGATTCTGTAATGATAATGTCGTTGTTGTTAATGTTGTTGCGCATATACTTTGATCATTTAAAGATGTATGTGCAACAAAATGTAACGATAGCGACATCGTTATTAAAATTTATAGAACTACAGTACTGAAAAATGATACTCTATACAACAATGAAATACACAATTTCTCTCTCTCTCTCTTTCTCGACAATAAAACACACACACACACACACACACACACACACACACACACACGCACGCACGCACGCACGCACGCACGCACGCACACGCACGCACACACACACACACACACAGACAGGGTGTTTCAGAATTTGCGGATACGGACTCCACAGTATGATTGTTCGTATCAAAATAAACAACTTTTTTCTCTGGCAAAATTACATCATTTACATCAGATTCGTCATCAGCGACTGACATGAATGATATTTTCCATCCAAAATGCAACAAAATTAATTGATTTATGAAGATTTTTGCATTGAAAACCCAAATTTTTTGATCGTTCATTGATATAGTTGTCATATTAAGTTCGCCATATTGAATTTTGAAAAACCTTATTTATTTGGCATCAGAAAATAAATAATTAGCTAAATTTTAAGCTCATGCACGACTGTTTAAAGTTAAATCAATTTTGGAGCTTCGGGTATCCAGTTCAGAAAGAATGACTCATATATATATCTATATATATATATATATATATATATATATATATATAAAGTAGTTTTAAACATAATATCCACTTTAATTAATCAGTGCTATAACAAATTACAGGGCATAATTCGGGATTATCGCTCAGATCCTCTTGAGAGATATATAAAGACATTTAACATGCATTTTGTTTCATAAAATATATAATACAAAAAAAGATTATAGAGTAATATATATCCATAGTTCTACAATTAATTTTATCAAAATAAGTTAAGAATCTAGTAAATTGAAAAATAGAATATTTTTAATATGAAAAAGAGAGGATTTTTTTTAATATTTATTTTTTGCAAAACCAGAGATAAATCTGAACTTCGGAATTGAGTTTTTATAAGAATAATTAATTTTTTTATAAGTTGAAAAAAAATTAAAAAAAGGCACTGTAAACTTAAAATCACAAATGTAAAGATGAAAAGACTGATAATATTTCTTTATTTTTGATAATTTATAGAGATTAAATCTTGATTACTTTGCAAGCGTGCATGACTATTTGAAATACTATTATTTTTCTATTTTGATATAATATATTTTGATATTTTGCAATCGTTCGTCTTAATTTTATTATTAAAAACATTTGTTTATTTATTTGTTTATTTAATTTGTTTATTTGTTTAAATAAAAGTTTTACACAATGTTAAAAAGTGTCCTATTTTTCGACTCGCTAAATTCTTATAATATATTTAAAATTTATGATTTATATGCGAGAATAGCAAAGAATATAAAAAAAAACTTATGCTGCATCCAATCTAGAAGATGTGTATATATATATATATGTGTGTATATAATATTGTATGCGTGTATGTCTTATGTGTGTTTGTATGCTTATCTACATATATATTATGTATAAAGAAATATATGTATACATAAATAAAATCTTTTTTGTAATATAGTATGTAAAAATACAAAAAAATAATGTTTTAGGAAATAATATCAAAAATTTTACGCACTTTTGTATCAGATGCAAAAAAATTAATACATTGGGATCATCAAACATTTATAAATTCATAAAATTGTCAAAATTGTCATTGAAAATAGGACATATGGACATCTTAATTGTCTAAATAGTTTCAGATCATAAAATTAAGCATTAATTAAGTTTTATTAATTAATCTATATTGATTGAAAGTGATTGATAAACACATTGAGATATAAGATTCGCACATTGAGATATAAGATTTTTCTTAAAACTATTTGTTTCAACATTCTTCGAAGGATATGACCAAAGTAATGCAAGCAAAATGATGCTTCTCAAAAATTTTGCTTAAAAAATGTCTAACAAGAAATTAAATTTATCTGTAATATATTAGGTATTATAAATTCTAGTGTTATATAATAAAATAATATTTAAAATTTCTTAATTACAAATTTCAAATAAATATTAATAAGAACGAAAGTATAGTAGTGTTTGTATAGAAGATTGGATGATGGATATTATCTGTCATAAAATATAATTTATTATTTGTAACACACTACCACACATTATGTATCTTATCTAAATATGTATATTTATATAAATATTTATATTTTTAGTAATAAACACACATACATATACAAGTTGAATATAATATTCAATTAACCACGTTATATAAAAATATTGAAATTTTATAAAATTGAATTTTATATAAAAATGAATTTTTATATAAAAATCATTTTTTTAACATTCTATTCATTCTAAATAAACTGATTTAAAAAAGTAAATATCACTTATTTATATTACATGTATAAGTTTAAATAAAATTACAGATATATTCAATGATTTCATACAAGATTTTATGAGTGCAATATAATCATCTTCGAATATACAGTACTTGAATGTAGCATACCTCATTCGTTTCTGCGATTTCATTGACCCTTTTCAAAATGGTATCGAATTTTGTCCTAATGATAATGATCATGATAATCACATGTAACTAATCTTAAAAGGCACAAAATCTTTCTTTAAATTACATACGATTTGAAAAGGATCACGCCGGACTAGTTTTAAACCACCTCTCCCAGAGCTGACATTCTTGTCGAGCACAATCCTAATATAACAAAATTTTTACAAAACGGACGAAAAGTCACGATTCTAGTCATAGCGATTATTAATGTTGCATGTTCTTCAAGTAGTTCAGTTCTGGCTTCTAGGCCGATGATGTTTATTGCGTATTAGTGTTCTTCCATTCGATGTATAGAAAATAAGCCCCAGCAGCGTATGCAATGGTGTTAAAGATTCCAAATATCTAAATAAATAATATTAAATATATGTATTTTAAAAACATTTTAAATAAAAAATATTTTTTTCATCTATTAATATTTTAATAATGGGCCTCACTCCAGCAGCGATATTCGATGATGAAGTTCTGTAAGCTGTCCAAGCCGATAGCTGAGCGATAAATGCAATCATGTAAAGTACGGCTTTTATAGATGTATTTAGAAGTTCCTGAAAAAAAAATAAATATACAAAATATAATTATTTTGTACAATTAACCGTATACACATATTATCATCGATTTTAAAATCGATTTTATTAATTAATTATTTATTAATTATTAAGTATTTATATACTGATAAAAAATATAGAAGACATAATATTACATTAAATGTTAGACTTTTTCACACTAGAAAACAAAATTAATTTAAGATATAATATAAATAATATTGTGTACACACGCATCTTTAAAAAATACATCAATATTCTTAAAAACTCTTAAAAGATTAAATTATTTATTTTTAGTAGAAGAGTTAAATAAATTAACTAAACATAAGATTAAATATTTGGAAGTAAATAAAATATAACATACAATAGAGAAAAAAGTGAAAAAAATTTTGATGGCGCACATTGTGCACACACACACATGCACAATGTTTTACTTCAACTTTTTAATAACTTTCACTTACAGTTAAGATCCAGTTGATGGGCACTTTAAGTACTTCCCTGAGGGACAAAAAATATACGGCGCACCATATGAGTGTAGATATGAAGGATATTACCGCAACAAATAGAAACCAGTGTGTTGCACCTATATATGCAGGAGATGCACATGCCATACATATTATACCTAGACCCTGGAAAATGTATAAATATGTGTGAATATCGCGCATATTTTCCATTGCGCACATTGCACAATTAACTTCATGAAACAAAAATTTTTAATAATCGTAATAACAACAAGATAATTTTTTACTTAAATAATGAAGACAGCATTTGTACTAATAATAAATTAATGGTATTCAACTTTCATATTTAAATTTCAGTTAATATTTCATGTATATATATATATATATATATATATATATATATAAAATTATAAATTAAATATATAATTATACAGTGATTTCCTGTAATATTAGACTTTTTCAGCAAGTAAAATATTTTTTAAAAATAATAGAATTAAAATAAAATATGAAAAAAATTGAAACTTAACTTAAAATTTATTTTATATTTATTTATTGTATATACACATTTGTTTGTATAACAAGAAAACTATCTTTTATTACAGACTATAAGACTGTTTTTATTGTTATTTATGAATGTTTCATGTTACATTGAGTAGATAAATCGATTTAATTAGATTGAATTATTATAATAAATCTGAAATAAATCTATTTTACAATAGTATGGAATAATTTATTTAAAAAATTTTTTAAATTTAGGAAACTAAATTTATTTTTTTTGTAAATACATTAATAATTTATTTTTCTGTAAATATATTAATAATTTATACTTTTTCTTTATTCTATACTATATAATGTTACTTTCTAAAATATTAATCTAAAATTTTAATATGTTGTAAAAATTATATTAATTTAATCACAATTTTAATACAACATACACGTAAGATAATTATATTTTATATTCATATTGCACATTATATATATATATATATATATATATATATATATATATACAAAATTAGTTTTTTATAATATATTATATAAAATTTGCAATCCCGAAATATTTTCCTGCTATTTGTCGAATTATCTCATCAATTCATACAACTTAAATTATTATATTTAAAATCACTTTTCTCAAGAGAATTTCTCAAGCTTTCTATTCTTGCGTTTACAATTTTTTTGTAACCTTTTTTGCCTTTATGCGTGCGAATTTTGAAATTGATTTCTCCGCCATTATCTTTCGTGTCTCGTTCCTAATTTTATAAAATTTTTGCAAATATATATCAATTATCTTTTCGTCCTCTACCATATTATATCTTTGTTTTGAGTTTTGGTTCTTTTTTTCCAAATCATAGTCGGAGAATTCGAGAGAAACAAAATCATCAAAATACTTGTCTCGAAGCGCAATTTCGTTTCTTCCTTTGTTCATTTTTAGATTTCTTTCTTCAGTTAAACGAATCAGCGGTAATCTTTTTTCTTCCAATTCTTGTGGTACAAATTTCTTCTTTTCTAAAAGAACTTTTTTCATCGTATCTTGCTGGTGCAATTTCCATATAATATCTTTAGATTTTGACATTTTGCGTATTTTCTCTTCAGCTTCCAATTTTAATCGTTCCTCGTGCTCTCTGTGAAGTTTTATCCTTGTCATTTCGAGTTTTAATCTATGTTCTTCGTCCATTCTTGTTTGTCTTCTAGTAATAATAGTCGCGTCGTTTTGAAGAAAATTTTTCTGCCACGAAGAAAAAATTTTTTTTCTTCTTATTTCCCTCCATACATACTCTTCAAACCAATCTCCCTTTTCAAGTATATCATCCTTAATCTCTGCTGGTTCTTCAAAAATACGAAACGCGCTATTGCAATCACCAGCACCAATCAGTTTAAAGTCTTGTTTACACAATACTCGAAGTGACAAGAGAGTTATCGGCTTTTTCGATATAGTCTGCGTGAGCACCGGTTTGTTTGCTCTTTTTTCGATATCCCAAATCTCCAGATCGCCTAGACTCGTACCCATTAGAAAAATTCCCGGACGATTACTCCAGCAACATGCGGTATACGTGCAATCGGATTTTCGTCTGAACACTGGAAAGTTTAAATAATCATCTTTCCAAATAGCAAAAACGTGACCGCCCATCGTCAGCAGAATGTCCGAAAAATGCGGTGATCGTAAAATCACTGCAATGGGACCATCATGCGCGGAAGTGCAATCTAAAAGTTTGCATTCGTTTACACCGGACGTTTCCACGTCGAACATCTGGCTTTCCCAGGTGCAGCAAGCGAAGTGTCCTTGCGCCGTACCAATCCACAATCTCTTCGTGTCATTTTTATCCATAAAATCTAATTCATCATGACTCTTATCGCCTTCTTGAAAAACGCTGACTGATGAAAGACATAGATAAAGAGGTGTGAAAAATGGATCGTTATGAGGTCGAACATTCAATCGATACGTCGGTCGAAAAAGTTCATCAAGATTTTTGCAATCACTTGGCTTCAACTGGGAGATAATGGAGTACCTTAAAAGATCCCATATAGCAAGGGTACCGTCTTCGGAAGTTGTCATAAACTGACAACTCGAACAAGTGGATAATTTCGTTAATTTTCCGGATGGTTCTATCCTGTAATTACTAGGAAGCCATTGTATTTGACGAATTGGCAGCTCGTGCGAATGATCTCGATCAGACATTCCCGCTATTGGTACGGTAACATCTTGAATAAAAAACTCGAGTTTGACATTTGCTTGATTTTCTATTTGTTCATGAATATTCCAAATGATTACTTGTCCGGACGCGGAACCGCCGATTACAAAATCACCGTTCGTTGGACAAAAGGAGATGCAATAAATTTCCTGGTCGCATCGCAATAACAATCGTGGTCAAAGAGAATCGGTGAGAGACCACAATAATACTGTCGGTTCCGTTTTTGACACAAAGTTATACTCGATATTTGACGAAAATTGGGTGACTTTGTGTAATGGTACGGTGACATAAGAAATAGCCACATAATCATTGAAACACGGATGCCAAGAAACATCGGAGATAACCTTTCCTATCGTCAAATTCAAATAAACAAGGGAGACTCGTTCCACATAAGTAATCTCATCTCGCAGCCGAATTGTTTCAAATTCTTGCCGTGCAAGCGTCTCAATATCGTCTATGTGTACATTTATGACTGTATTATAGCATACCGCATCAATCATTACTTTTGCGTGATCTTCCAAAAAGAGTGCTAATAAGCTTTGGTTCTCTACTGGTTTCTTTTCCACTTTGATATCAAACATCTCTTTAGTCTCTTCGTTTTCTCTTTTCTCTTCAAACTCTTCCGACTTTCCTTCGACTGATTCTTTTTCCTTTTCTCCAAATTCACTATTATCAACATCCAGCTTTAGAGTATCTTCATAGATATATTGAGTCCAGGCGTTCTTGGGATAACCGGGATAAGTTTGCACTTGGATTTCACGAGGCTTAAAGTGTGTTTGGATCATCCTAGAAATACATTTCTTGTCAACATTCTCGAATCTCTCATATGGAATTAATTCTACGTAACTATCCCAAGATTTCTTCGAAAATCTGTCATGGAGGTTTCGATTCAAACCTAAAGACTTAATTGGAAGGCATACTTGCATCTCAAAGAATTCTCTCGTATTTTTGATCACATTTCCATCTAATGCCGTTTCACTTCCGAGAGACTTCCAAGATCTACCAGTCCTTTTGATCTTCTGGATAATCTCATTCCAGATTCTTTTGCTAATGTCAGTGTTTCTTTTTGCTATCACTGACTTTGCATCTTCCGTCAAGCAGATGACAAAATCGCAAGCAATCAATCGAGTTGATGAATAACCTATGAGGAAAGTATCGCCGCTATAAACTTCAATCTTATCTCGATATGGTTCCAGCGATGAGCCCGTTACATTGGCAAATCTTAAAACAGCTTCTCGTGACACATAAGCCCAAGGATATTCGAGAAATACATGTTCGCCCACTAAACAACCTAGTTCTCGTTGAACTTCAGGAGGGAGGCTAATGTGTTGCACATTTTCAATATTTTCGTCGTGTAGAATCCAACTCGATCGGCATTTTACTACTTTCGTCAACATCATTCTCGCGGTTCGTAACGACAACAAATAATAATGAGAACAGTTTAGTCACAAACGGTTCTTCATATCGATTAAACAATACTATTTACTATGGTTTCCAAGAAGATTTCACAGACACACACACACACATATATATATATATAATCTTCCATTAGTTGTCATAAAAATTGAAAAAAAGAAATATATATATATATATATATATATATATATATATATGTAAGCAAATATCTATTCTAATCGCTATAATAATAGCTATAATATTTTATACTATAAATAAATGTATTTGCGTGTTATTTAAATTGTTTACATTATTTTACATATGTTTTAAAGATAATAATATATATATATATATATATATATATATATTAATGATAAAAATTATATAACTCATAAAATAAAGCGTTAAAATAAAGAACGTTGTATTAGTATTGTAACTACTGAAAAAAAATAAATAAACTAATAAGAAAGAAAATTATGCATTCGTTATGCAAAATCTAAAATGATGCTTTTGTACAATGACAAAAAAATATATTTTTATGAAGATCTGTTCTCAGAACAAGCGATATTATAATATGTGAAGCCGATATAGAGATAACAGACATCGCAAAGTTAATGAGAAATCTCAGTAACCTATATCTATCGATTTACATGCGTAGTTACAGTTAAACGTCCTACTAGTAACAGTCTACTATACTTTGCACCTTTATCTATTGTTGTTGTGTAATCATACATTACTAATTAATTGAAATTATAAATAACTGCGCATAGAGGAAATAATGTTGCATACTTTGTGAAAATTATGCAATTTATTTTAATTATTTATTATTATAATATTTGTTAATATTTATTTGTTGATGTAATAACAAAAATTTTTTAAAATTTTGTTTATTTTTTTCTTTTTTTCCTTTCCTTTTTTTGTCATTTTTTTTCTTTGTGTTTTCGATAACATTTTATAATATAAAATTTTTGTTAAATCTTCTTTCTGTTGTCTTATGACAAAAGAAAGTTCCTACAATAAAATTCACTTACCAAAAGAATTAAACTTATATTCGTAACTTATACTCGTAAACTTCCAGAGATACGATATTTAGACTACTAATATCGAAGAGTAGTCATTTACAATTATATAGAGTAATATATATATATATATATATATATATATATATATTCATATAGTATTCATATAGTATTCATATTCATATATATAGTTGTAAATGACTGCTCTTCGATATTAGCAGTCTAAATATAATATCTATATGGAAGTTTACGAGTATAATTTTTCCCTAAGTTTATATATATTATAGATTGCTACATATTTTATATATCATATTTTAATTTGATGGCAATTATTAAAATATAAACTATTTTTATATATAGACGAGTATTAATTGATAGTTATAGATAAGAACCGATTAATATTCTGGATTAACATTCTGTCCATTAATACAGTAATTATATTCTGTCCAATTATATGGTTGCTCTATTTTCATTTAAAATCACTGTTAGCAGTCTAGGGATAATATATAAAAGTTTCTCTGTGATTTTATATTTTATTGAGATTTCTTGCCATTCATTTCATAGACTTTTTCTTGATTTTTATTATCATGCTTATCAGGTATTAAATTTTATATAATTTAGTAATAAAAAAAAAATATATATATATATATGTTTATATACTCTTATATACTATCATATATCATTTTGTGCATACACACAATAAAATGGAAATAACACTGAAAACATAAAAATAGATTTAAAAAAATTAGATATGAAAGATATAAATAAATTACTGATGATGTAAATTATGATACCGATGAATATTTTTTACTTTTACCAAAACAATTTACTCACATTCAATAAAGCTTATTACGTTGACTTCGATAACGAGTTATAATAAATGTTTAAATTTATATAAACTTATTGCGAAATTAATTATATTTAGTTTTTTAGAAGAAATAATATACACTATTTATACAACTAAGCGCATATATATATATATATATATATATATATATATATATATATACACACACACATGGTGTCCCAAAATTCATAATCAATCTTTCAAAGACAGATTCCTGGGAATCTTTGGAGACGATTTTTTCTCAGCGAAAATGTCGATAAAGGCCATCATTTTTTGCATGTTCCCGATTTTTGTCATCATATACCTTTGCAATTAAGCCTTAAATTAAAACTCAATTAAAGTAAATCTCTATTTAAAATTAATCGAAGAATGTGGTTTTGTTAATATTTTATTTCTACAAAGCTTAGTTTACAAAAAAACCCTTATTTCCAATCACTTATAATTCGAAAATTATTAGTGCCTCGACATTTTCGTTGAGGAAAAATCGTCTCCAAATGATCTCAGGAATCTGTCTTTGAAAGATTAATTATGAGTTTGGGACACCCTGTATATATATATATATATATATATATATATATATATATATATAATAAAATATAATTATAAAATAAAATTATATATATATATATATATATATATATATATATAATAAAATATAATTATAAAATAAAATTATATATATATATATATATATATATATATAATTATATATATATATATATATATATATATATATGTATATATATAATTTTATTTTATTAAATATTATTAAATAATTCAATTTTAAAATAAATATTTTGCTAAATTAAATTTTAGCTCGCATTATTTTTGACACATTACATAAAAAATGATTTAGAATCTCTAAAAATGTTCAAAAGTTGCAATTTTTTAATATATAATGATGCCTATGTTAATTATAATAGTTCGTATTACTTGTATCACATTGACAATGAAAAAAAGTCATTCATTTTTATTCTTGGCATAATTTGCAACCTATATTTCCACGTATGCGCACAGATACATAAATAGTTATGACATGAGTATATCGATGATGCATTATGTAGCATTATTATGTCAGCAAGGTTATATGAATTTGCTTTTACTTTGCATGCAATTCTCAATAATGAGTAATCCTAGGTATTAATTATTATAGTTCAAGAATTCGGCAATCAATTTGTGAGCAATAATCATATAGCTCATAACAACTACATAAACTCTATAGTAATTAAGTTTGATGAATATTTGATCAATGGTGATATTTTATCAATCTAACATTGTTTATCACAAGTTATGTTAGAAATATAAAAATTTGCTTTTTTTATCTATAAAAAATATGTACAGAAATTATAAAAGAAACAAAAATTAAAAGAAAAGCTTAAAAGTGCAAAATATTGTTTTGATTTTTATAAATTTTTTTATATGATATATAGTTTTATATATGTACATAGTTTTTTATACATTTATCAATTAAATTAAAAATTTATTTTTAATTTTCAGTGATAATCTAGCGACTGTAAGCAATACAGTGCACAATGCATATTTAAATAATAATAAAGAAACCACTCCAATATCAAAATTTAAATCAACTTTAAGGATTATTTACATCGATTCTTGGATTCGAGCATAGATAAAAATATGTTTTCTTCTGTGATATTATGTAACTACAATACAACTCTATAATATATATATATATATATATATATATATATATATATATATATATATACACAACTTCATAATAAATTCGAGTGTTTATAAATAGATTATGCAAAATTGCACACATATACAAAATAAACTATATAATTTTATTATGTAAAACATTGCATATTTTAACAATAGATGTTATTTAAAAAAATAAAAAGTTCTGTATTTTAGTATCGTATTTCAATTAGTATATGTATTTTAGTATTAATAAATATTTTATAAACTTTATTACATGAATCTAAATGTTTTATGATTATTTAAAAATGTATACATGGATTTTTTCATGTAAAAATATAAATATAGATAAACCTAAATAAATTTTCTTATGTAAAATTATATTTCTAAATGTTTAATTTTGACTATTATTTGCTTGCAATAGTCAAAATCATCAAGTGTAAAACATTAAGAAGATTAAATCAATCTACAAATCGACAGTTGAAGTCAAATTTGATAAGCAATAATAATATGATCTTTTCTCTCTGACAATGTAAGTTAATTATCACAATTCGATGAATAAAATTGTTATATACAATAAATAAATATAAACACACATATTGAAATGAAATGAAAACATGTTGAAACTTGCGAGTAAAAAATTAACAATTATCTAACAACTAACTATGCATTAGCAGCTACTCATCTCATATTAATATTACATACATCTTTTTCGCATTCTTTCGCTCTACTATTCGAGCACTTATCAATGATACTTTTTAATCAAATGCTATATGATTTAATATAACACGCGAACATCCAGTAGTGACGTGTTTGTCAAATTCGTGTGGCAAGATGGTCGAAGAGTTAAAGGATACATTCTCAATGAGACATTCCGATATTGTTGTCGCAGCAATATCGGCGCGGCGCTGATGGTACTGATTGTGACTATGAGACACTCTCCGTATAGTACCGGTTGTCTGGATGAACATGTATGGTCATCGTGTGCGATCTAGCATAGTGAGATGCGTAATATCGAATTCATCTCTATCTAAATTCTCGTTCGTTATACACTTAATCATTTATTATCGAAAACCGGTTCTTTCTCGCCAAACATTCCACTGTTTTTCTTGAGGCAAAAAATTCGATATCATAATGTTTTTTGTAATTCTGCGATTGCATGCCTAGCTCTTCCATATCTTTCACGCTTCATTTTCTGCACAATTTTTGGAATAACTCTTCAAAATCTTGTTTCTCTCGATTAACTCTCGTTATATATCTGTTTTTTTAATTATTATAAAATAATTAAAATAATCGTTAGACGTAGTTTGAATTCAACAGGAGCCTATATATAATATTTTTAGCATGTACTTTATGTAAAAATTTATGTAAAGATTTATGTAAATATTTATTATAAAGAAATATCAAAGATTTTCAAAAATATTTTGTTGTATGTAGCTCTCAATTTCAAAAATCAATATTTCTTATTGTTAAATCTCTAGATCTCTAGAATTTGTATAGAATATCTGTCTTTGATCAATTAAAAAGACGAATGTTAAGAAATATTTGATTAGAAGACACTATATGCTGGGATTCCTTTTTTATATTCAAAATTAAATACTACG